CAAAACTATTTTGACTAAATTAATGATAGAAACCAAATTATCATGGATTAAGTGCCTACCCATGGCACTATTAATTCTCAGAACCAGACCCCGAGCAGATGTAGGAATATCAGCGTTTGAAATGGTGTATGGAATGTCTTATAGAATTGAAAGTCCACAAACAAATGTTTTAATTCGAGACCGTGTGATTAATGAATATGTTTCACAATTAGCAGAACATCGTAACAAGCTCTGGGAACATGGACTGATTGTGCAACGCCCCCTGTTAGACTTAAAAATTCACAATGTTAAACCTGGGGATTGGATATTGATTAAAGTGTGGAAAGAAGAAACCCTAAAACCTAATTGGGAGGGACCTTATCTTGTTTTGCTTACAACAGAAACAGCTATCCAGACTGCTGAGCGTGGATGGACTCATGCCAGTCGCATTAAAGGCACAGTGACAAAACCCCACTGGAAAGTAATCAGTACTCCAGGTGACACCAAGATAACTCTGAAAAGATAACGCAATGATAGAGACTTTATTTGATTATTTTGACGCATTACCTTTTGGTATAAAGTGTGTATTGATGTTTATATTTGCTATAATTACTTCTCTTTTTGTCTATTATATATGGAAGCGTACAAAGTGTGCTGAAGGAAATTGCTAAACTTATGCAACCACACAATAGTGAATATAGAAGATAGGCTGATGTAAATAATATATGTACTCTAGATATACGAATTAGATGTAATAATTTGAACTGCAATTGTTATCCATTTGCTTGTTTTAGGTGTAAGGTATGCCAGGATAAATGGTGGACACACTGCGAATATGGATACCCTCCGATAGGAGTTTGCACACAGTGTTGGAAAATCCAAAGAACTCTCACTGAGTGGAAATAAAAACAATTAGAGTCTAAACAAGAAATTATTCGGGAATCCCACGAGTGGTGGAAGATTTTTGCCAAAGGAGTAAAACCTCAATATTATTGTTACCACTCCAATGAACCAGTCCCCTTTGTAACTGAGATTTTGGTTATAAAGTGTAGAAGGGAAGTACTAACCATGCCTTGCTTTGCCCCATTAGTTAAAGCTGCAAAGTGGGAAGCCTATGTGAATAGGCAGAAAGCCCGAAACAGCTATTCTCCTGAAGAATTCCCTTGCTGCCGAGAAGATGGTACACCCCGTGGCTCGAAGCAACCGAGTCGACGGGCGAGGCAGAAGAGGAACAAACTGTGGAGAAAAGAACCAGAACAATGGGATGCAAAAACAGCAATGGCCGAACTTCCCCAGGACTGGTAAAAATATATTTAAATTGGCAAAATTGACAAACACCCTTTTTCCTGGTATACCATTAGTCTTGATATTGATAATAACCCAGGCAAAATGGGAAAACCCACATGAACCATTTAAGTGGGAACTAGTATCTTGGGAAGGAACGAGAACAATAGCCACTTTTAGCGACCCAGGGCCACCTGAATTCATAGTGGAACTTTGTGATTTAATACCAATACCTTGTGAAAAGGGGCCTCCATTTTATATATGCCCGGCCTCTGGACCAACTTACTGTAATTATCCCGGACATTACTATTGTGGGTATTGGGGATGTGAGACAATAGCCTCAGGCTGGTCAGTAAATACTCCTGATAAATATATAAAAGCAACCTGGACTCCTAACGGATGTGTACCTGAAGGCACAGGTGTAGATCTTACAAGTCTACGTGACGATTATGTATCTTCACGTGACAGGGAAATCTGTACCTACATCAAATTTCAAGTATTAAATCCCCAAGATGACAAGTGGTTAATAGGACGAACATGGGGAATACGTATCCATGCAGGAATTCCTAAAGACAGGGGAGGGCACTTTCTCATAAGAAAAGTTAAAATACCACATGATCCACTCCCTGTTGGGCCGAATAAAGTATTGAATCCACCCACTTTTCCTAAGAAAAAGATTGTCCCCACAAGTGTTAACTCCCTATCAGTAACAGACGCGGTGACTGAGTCTTCTGTAGTTAGGGATTCAGGAAAGTCAGAATTCAAAGACCCTTTATGGGATTTAATGCAAGCCTCTTATCGTGCCCTTAATGAAAGCAAACCAGATCTAACTAAGGAATGCTGGTTATGTTACAATGTTAGACCACCATATTTTGAGGCAATTGGAAAAGTAGGGAAGATTCAATGGTCTAGTGGTTCAAACCCACAAGAATGCCCATGGGATGACCAGAAAAACCATACGCAAGGAATTACTATTCAATCAGTAACAGGTCAAGGAAAATGTATAGGGACAGTGCCTAAAAATTATCAGCCATTGTGCAATCAATCAGCAACAATTACTACAGAAGCTATAAAGAGACATAGAAATAGAAATGACAAATGGGCCATCCCGACACCAGGAGCTAAATGGGTTTGTTCAGACATCGGAATAACGCCTTGCCTATCCCTAAACGTGTTTGATGAATCACAGTTTTGCGTACAAGTGATTATTGTTCCTCCTCTGATCTATCACACCTCTGAGGAGGTGTTAGGCCACTTTAAAGGAGACCTAAATAGAGGAAAACGAGAGCCAATTACAGTGATAACCTTAGCGGGCGGAGTTGGAGCAGGTACAGGCAAAGCCTCTCTAGTAAAAGGTCAGGAATTACAAAATTTACAGGTGGCTGTAGATGCGGATTTAGCAAAAATAGAACAATCTATCCAAGATTTAGCCACTTCAGTAAAGTCTTTATCAGAAGTAGTACTGCAGAATAGAAGAGGATTAGATCTATTATTCTTAAAGGAACGTGGGTTATGTGTAGCTCTCAATGAAGAATGTTGTTCTTTTGCTGATCATACGGGAGTAGTCCAGGACACCATGGCTGAACTCCGGAAAAGGTTAGATCAATGTAAGAAAGATCGTGAGGCAGGCAGGTCATGGTATGAGAACTGGTTTAATGTTTCACCTTGGCTAATCACTTTGTTGTCTGCTTTAGCAGGACCGCTTATTATATTGATCTTGGGACTTATAGTTGGGCCTTGTATATTACGCTATATTTTACACTTTGTTAGAGAGCGGTTCGACGTTGCTAAACTGCTTATTTTAACTATGAGATCTGGGGTAAAATATAAGAGTGTATCTATTAATGAGGATAAAGATAATGAGAATGAAGATTATTGTGAATGTGTTATACCACGTAAAAACTATGATTGTAACTGCGAAATATTGCATTGTAAGTGTTATGATAAATGTTGGGAGTGTGGAAACAGGATTGCTTGCAGAACCAAGAATGAAAGTAGCATCTAATAAACAATAATAGGATAGAAAGAAAAAGGGGGGATTGTAAGAAACTAAGGAGAAGGGTATTGTTTATTGGGATTATGTGAGGCCCAATGTGAAGGTTGGGCAGCAGGGGATATGGGGTCGCTTGCTCAGTCACAACTTGTGCGAGACAAGATAACCACAATCGCTTACAAAAACCAAACCTAGTACCGTTTATGCAACCATAGCAGCCGTTGACTAAAGATAACCATAAGGTGTTTCAGGAACTGGCAGAAATAAGACAAACAACTCCGTAAAAGGATATATGGGTAAAAGGTCAACTATGGAACAAGGAGGAAGACTTCTTACTTCAGCCCCAAAGACCACCAGAAGGCAGAAGTGGACCCCCTGGCAACAGCTGAAGCATGCGCAGAGTACCGCAACTACGTCATGAACACTGAAATAAAGATATATAAAAGGGGGCTGTTTGAACTGATCAGTACGGCAGTTGTCGGAGCGCAGACTCCCCTGTCGTCCAGCGCTGTTTTGCTCATATCCTACTTGATATAATTAATAAAATTTTAATTGGATTATGATCCGTTGTGGTCTCAATTTATAACAGGAGTATGGCTGTGACGTCTATTCAGAAGCAATTTCTCCAGGAGAGTTTTCTTCAGCTACTGAATCTCTTCATTTTGAACACACGTTATTTCTCTCTCAAAGTAATCTTTGTGTTTCATCAAACTTTATCTACTCTGTTGGAAAGGATTCTTAGAAAGCAGGTTTTAACAGAAGTTCAGACTTTGTGCAGCACCCTTCTTTTCCCCAGCATTTCATACAGTGCCTCACAAAAGGCCCCAGAGGTTGGACAAACACAGCACCAGGAAAAACAGTGTGAAAGGGATCTTTACGTGCCTGTGTGAGAGCCCAGTGCTAATAGCTCGATGTGCTATTGACACATCCCAGTAAAAACAGCTAAGACTTTTTCAAAATAGCGTGAGTCACATTCTCATTTTGAACTTTGCCTTTCCCAGATTTGGGTGATTTGTGAAACAAATCATCCTCGTATCATTAAAACATATTTCTGCAAATGAAGGTAGCCGCTGGGAAACGATTATTGCGTCTGACTGTAACGCTCACTCAGTGAATTAATCCTGCCACAGAGAAGGTGCGAATAGGTGGAAGTGGTACTGCAACTTCTCTGAGAACGCTCCTCAAACCAAACCGTTTGTTATCTCCCCGCACTGCCGCTGATGTAGATAACCCTCCTGTTTGAGATAATCCTTTAGTTACTGGCCGTAACAGACCCGGGATCCCCCCAAAAAGCGGAGCGGAGGCGTCCCGTCCCTTCTTCTCCCCTCCCCGGCAGGGCCACCCAAGACCCCCAGGGCTCGTTCCGACCCGCCGAGGGGCCGCACCGGCTCCAGCCCGGGTAAAAGTTCCACCGGTCCCGGCCTGAGCTGCGCTCCGCAGAGAGCCGCTGCCTTTTGCTCCCGGCCGCGGGGCAGTTCAGGGTTCTGACTCAGCCGAAGCGCCGGGCTGAGGCCTGCGGGGAGGCTCCCGGTCCAGCTGCTCCGAACCAGCAGGCACTCGTCCGGTGGCTCCGGCCCCGCTACTTCCGCCCCACGGACACTCGCTGCCCCCAACTTTCTGGGACCGGAGACCCGGGCGGACCCTACCACCCCGACTTTGTGGCATCCCCCAACCCCAAGCCTCCCCGCCCCGACGGAGCCCGAGCTGCGGCTGCTGGGGAATTAACACGCGCGGGAATAATCACCTTGTTGTAGTAACCCAAACACTGGGCAAAGTCCAGGTTGGAGTTATCTCCGGGAAGAGAGCCGCCCGCCGCAGCCGGATAAAATCTTGCATCCATGCCGTTGCTTTGGAAGAAGTGCCCTTGGAGAGACAGCCGGGAGGTTTATTAGATCCACCTTCAGGTGCTTTCCCGGGAATGGGGAGAGACAAACCACCGAGGGATCAGAGCTGCGGGGCGCCGAGCCTTCCCGGGGAGCAGGACGAGCGGGAGGGAGGCGGAGAAGTGTAGGTAAACGAGAAGAGAGAAAGAGAAGCCCAGGTGGGTCCCCGTCCGCCTCAGCGGGAGGAAGAGAACGGAGGACGGAGAGGAGGGAGAGCTGTTATTTTTAAAAAGCTCCCTGCCAAGCCACCGGCTTTGCCTCCGCATTCAGGAGCAGCTACTGCATACAAAGGAGCCACGCGGGTCGGCCTGCCAGCCGGCCGGCCGACTGCCACTGCCCGCCGTAGCTGACAAAGGCGGGAACTGGAAGGAGCCGCGCACCGCAGGGGCAGAGCCTCCCGCGACTGCCGGGAACGGAGCAGCCGCCCCGGGGCTGGTACAACAGGGTAGCGCCGGGAGGGGGTGAGCACAGCTCGAGACCGAGTACTCAGAGCACTCCGAACCGCCCTAGCCCCACCCCGCCCGCCGTTTCCCCCACACCCCTTCCGGGGCCGGTGCTCGCCCGCAGGGCTGCCCTTTTCCCTGGGAGGGTTGAGGTGAATAATTTCCACCGTTTCCACCAGTTTTCTGTCCTTGGTTTCTTGGTTTTAATTTATCGATCGGCACTGCAGCCTTGGTGCGTCAGGTCGGTGGTAATAAAAAGATTTCTATAATGCTATAATGTACTGTCCAGAGCAGGACTTTATAACACAGTAGCTCACAGAAACCTCCTTGAGTTCTCAAAGTCACTACATGCTAATTCAAAGTGATCCACTAACAATCCAGACTTGGTCAGTCATAGGTGCTGCCCAGCTCTATTCCATTACCCTGCATGAAGCTTTCCTGACCCAGAACTTTTGGAGGAAATACTAAAGGTCATTTAACCTTATGACTTGTGCCCTGCAGATAAGGTGTGAGGAAGGAGGGTGAAAACACTCCCTTGACTCAAGGCTTCTGTGACAGGGAGAGAATGGCCTTCCAGGTCTAGGGCTGATTCCCATGCAGTTGTAATACAACTGCAAATACATCCCAGGCTGTCTTTAAGTCTATTCCACTTGGTTGCAAAATAGCAATGACGACACAAGGATACAAGGTTTAATTGTACAACAGCAGCAAGACCTTCCCTGAAGGTCTGTGCATCACTACCGTGACTGCGAGTGCAGAGACCCCAGGCCCATGCTGCAGCCCCATGCACAATGGCAGCCTGACTCAGGAGTGTAATGCCCCAACAGATTGTGATTGTGCACTGACAGAGGGGAAGCAAACTGTAAACCAGTCTATAGCTACAATGTAAAGAGAACATCTTCCAAAGTCTGTTCCTAGAAATCTTATTTGCACTATTTATGGTGGTACAAGTAGCTCCTGCTAACACAGGAGAGACCAGATTGCCCTTGTTCAGGTTATTGATCCTGAAGTGTCACAGGTTGAAGCAAGGAAAGATGTGTAAAGTGGCATTTTGCACTAAGAGCAGAGTTAAACATAACACAGATATACTGGTAAATACCTTGGTAAAAAAGAAAATGGGCATATTCTGTCAAATACCTAATCCAATTTTATATTCAGTGTGTCAACCATTTGTAACCAAAGGGAAAAAACCTGCAGAATCTGCTCTGTTGCTAGAAGGGAAGTGGTTGAGGAACATAAAGCACAAAGGGTTCGCACAGGCACACCCCATACCTGTGGAAAAATTATTTATGCTCCCGAGAGAAACAAATAATTCAGAAGTAAAGACATTGAATCTGTTTCAGGATGTGGCATTGCATTAGAGCATTCCTCCAAAGCAGGGACCGAAAAGTGGTAGTGTATAAGAACAGCAAACTCAATGCAACTGAGGTTAATAAAGTAATACCTGCTTTGTTTTATTCATAGGGTGAGAAACATTTCTGTAACCCCATGTGTACATATTAAATTCTAGAGTGCAGGCACAGATTATTGGCACCAAGTTTGGAGGTGCTCTGCTATGTAAGTACAAGTATTTCCAGACTGCATCACTTGGGTTCTCTACACTCCTAAAGAAACCCAAATGCATATTCCCACTGAATTCAGAGGGAAGATGCTTCAGTGAGGAATGAACAGCAAATTATTACAAGTTTAGGAGTTGGACTTGTTGTCGTTTTGAAAGGAGCCCCAGCAAGGCTGCAGACCTGTACAGGACATGGCTTCCAGGCAGTGAGTGGCCTACAGAACACTTTGGCGGCCGCACAATTCCTGCTGTGTTGGCAAGGGGGTGCCTGGCAGGGCACCTCATATCCCAGGCTGACCAGCCCGACCCACCTCACCTGTCACATAGCCTCAACTCCAGAACTGGGATTCTGATGGAGTAAGCTCTGCTCTCGTGAGACCTCACCTGGAGTATTGTGTGCAGGTCTGGTGTCCTCAACATAAAAAAGACATGGAACTGTTGGAACAAGTCCAGAGGAAGACCACGAGGATGATCAGGTGACTGGAGCACCTCCTGCATGAAGACAGGCTGAGAAAGTTGGGGCTGTTCAGCCTGGAGAAGAGAAGGCTGTGTGGATGCCTCATAGCAGCCTTCCAGTATCTGAAGGGGGGCCTATAGGGATGCTGGGGAGGGACTCTTCATTAGGGACTGTAGTGATAGGACAAGGGGTAATGGGTTCAAACTTAAACAGGGGAAGTTTAGATTGGATATAAAGAAGAAGTTCTTTACTGTGAGGGTGGTGAGGCACTGGAACAGGTTGTCCAAATAAGTGGTAAATGCTCCATCCCTATTCTATGATTCTGTGATTCTATAACACACTGTACCCAACACATTTTGTTCTGAAAATAAAAGAACAGGCACAATAGGAAAAGGCCAAATATTCCATCTTGATGTCACTGGCACAGAAAGTTAATGTAAAATTGAAATGGACTAAGTCAGAAATAAATAAATAAATTCCAGCAAGGCAAAACATTTATCCCCAAAATATTTGGTGAAAAGATTGAAATACTGTCCATTCATGCAATTATTAAACTAAAATATAAAAGTTTGGCAATATTTCCAACAACAAAAAAATCCAATTCCTGACTATAACCTAGCTTTGGAATTTCTACCCAATGCCCAAATTAAGTCTTTCACAGATTTCACAGAACTAGTAAGACTGCAGTGAAATTAATTAAAAAAAAACAGAAGAGAAACTGGGATACATATGTTACTTTGTTTTTCTTTTAAAAAAATATGTTAGGCTTAGTGAGATATTGTGCCAGAGAGAATTTTACCAAATAAAAAATTAGGCAAGTGTGTGTTTTACTTTCTTAACACCCTTTCAATGAGGTTTATTAAATAAGTAAACTGGAGTAATCTCTGTTGTGGTGGTTTAAAACCAGTCAGCCACATAGTCTCTCACCCCCACCCCCCACCCCTTCTTGCCCTCCCCCTGCTCCCAGAGGGATGGGGAGGAGAATCAAAAGAATGCAACTCCCACAGGTTGAGATAAGAACAGTTTAGTAACTAAAGTATAACACAAATCACTACTGCTACCACCAATAATAATAATGATAAAGGAAATAACAAGGGACCTGCTGATCCATAACTCTCCCCACCCCACCCGACCGAGCACCAACTGATACCTAGTCCAGCCCCACAGTGAACTAGCCCTTCTGGGTAACTCTCAGTTACATCCTAGGTATGACATGCTGTGGTATGGAGTACTTCTTTGGTCAGTTTGGGTCAGGTGTCCTGTCTCTGCTTCCTCCTGTTTTCCCCTCTTCCCTGGCAGAGCATGAGGCGCAAAAAGTCCTTGGTCAGTCTAAACATTTGAGCAGTAACTAAAAACATCAGAGTTATCAAAGCTGTTCCCAGGCTGGAAGTCAAAACCACGGTGCTGCACCAGCTACTAACAAGGAGAAAAATGACCGTTACTGCTGAACCCAGGACATCTATGCACTTTAAATCCACATGCATGACATCATATCTGTTTGTTAGTAACTGCATTTATCTCAGGAGTACATTAAGGATGGAATATGAGCCAAAGTATTTACATATCTGTACTTGGAAGGAATCCAACACATTTTTCTCTCAAGCTATTCTCTTTAAGGTCCCTCAGTAAAACTATGGGTTTGGAATTCTTTTATTTTTATGTTTTTTTCTTTCAGAGCAGTTGGAAGTATGAAGTATTTGCAATTTTGAGTAAGTATTCCCTTCTTGTCTGCTGCTTTAATAAAAGTAGCCATTTGTCTACAATAAGTGGAGTACTCCAGTAATTTCCCTGGTCCTGGGTTGCCTTGATTTTGAAGATGTTTTTTAAAAAACATTGTTACTTAAAGGTTTGAATGTATCCCTACTGATGCCAACAATTATGATTCAGGCAGTAACACACAAGCTGTGACTTTGTCCCATCTTCAGCTATACATTCTCATCATCACAATTAAATTTTAAAAGTCATTAGGAACACTCAAACTGCTTTTCTGATGTCAGAGCAGAAATTGTATTGGAGTGAATCAGTCACACACAGACTTGAAAGTGCATGCACGAATTCTCACTGCTGCCCAGAAACCTTTCAATTTACACAGGTAAATACTAATGTTCAGGCCTACCTGATTCCCACACAAGCCTAGTGAGTTCTTTTCTTTGTATCAGGACATAGCACAGGAATGTGTTTTACGGTTCTGACATATATGTTTTATCGTTAACTGGTACCTTTACAGCCTCTGCAAACTATTTTTCAAGCCCTGTGTCCATCTCCCAATCTGTAATGTGAATACAGTACCACTGTCTCAGTAATATTTTCTTTTTACTATGCAGAAGTCAAAGGCACTGTGAGGAGATTTAGTCCAGCAAATAGCAGTCAGGAAGAAACCTCAGAGATGACAGCAGACACACCACCTCCCTAACATCCAAATGTTCAGATAGACAGCCAAGTCTTCCACAAGTTCTGCAACTCAACTACCCCTATGTCTCTGGTCTGACAGTCTCCTCCTGGAAAAAAAGCAGACATGAGAGGGGCAGGGAAATGAGAGAAAAAGGGTGGAATGAACCAAGGCTGGAGCAAGACCCTTTGCTCCACTTTCACGATGCAGAACCAACATTCTGACCTGACATTCATTTTCACAGTGCAGGGCCCACATCTATTGGCTCCTCTTAGGAACTGGGAGGAACAAGAAGAGATGGAGGAATAGACAAAAATGGCTTCAAACGACTTAG